CTTGCTGCTTTCGTAAGAGACGTCATGGCGTGTCTCAAGGACGACGCTCTTCTGGCCCTTACGGGCATTGGAGCTGCGAGTGTATGTAAATTCGTACGGCGGAGTGCCCCAGAACTCAAAGAGGATCTCGACTTCGTTGCCTTCATGGATATCCACCCGAGTCTGTCGGCCCCTGCTGATCTTGACAGCGGGCAGAGGGTGAATAGTCTTGGTAATATCGACAGAGGCGCGACACTCCGAGGCCTTATCAGAGATAGAGGTGATGGTAAATTCGCCAGGTGACTCGGCGATACGACGGAAGTTGGTTGTGCTAGACTTAGCCTTGCGTTGCTGGCCCTGGAAATCGTACCAAATCTCAAAAGGAGGCGTGCCGGAAAGTGTATAAGCAATGCGTTCACCGACGCAGTAGTCTCCTCGGCTCTCCAGAGGGTAGATTGCGGGAGCGTCATGGAGATGAACTTGCACAGATGGCGCACCGATCTCGTACTTCTTTTGGCATCCGCGAGCGTCTCTAACCTCGCGGATGCGGACATGCTGAATTCCAAGACGCAAATGCTGCCTGGGAATGTGAATGCCGTACGTGTTACCTTGGATCGAAGGAATTCTATATGTTTCGGGGACGGTGCCACTGTGATGCTTGATTTCGATCTCAATGTAGAATGGAGCGACACCGTTCAGGGTGATAGGAATGGTGTCTTCCTTGTCTTGCTCGGTCTTGCAGTACTTGAACGATTGACCGGGCTTGACGAAGGCAGCAGATGGCTTGGCGTTGACCCTTTGGTCGATGACGAGTGACCGAGAGTTCTTCTCGCTGTTGTAGAGATTATCTGCGAGGGCGGAGAACTGGTACGTGTACTCTCCAGATTTGGAGGTATCCATAGGAATGGACGCTTTGTTGAGAGACGTGTCGAAATCCCTCTTGTTGGTCGAGGCATAGCCCTGGGGAGGTTTGTGCTGAATATTGTAATCAACATGGAATGGAGCCGAGCCTTGCAAGAGTTAGTGAGATTTGATAATTGAGATGGCGGATTAACTTACCCTTCAGGTTGACCTCAAAAGCGTCGATATCCCCCTCACAAACATCATGTTTGACGTATTTACCCTTATCCAACGTGATTGTATCAGACGGTACCACGGTGATCTCTGGACGAGGGTACCAGTCGACCTCGAACTTGGAAGCCTGAGGGTCCACAACACCAGGACACTGGTTGTCTTTCACGTTGACGATCTCGTACGTGCCTCGGGACCTGACAGGAAGGACATCGTTGCCGTTCCTCAACGTCTTTTCGTAGATCTCATCACTTCCATCAACATTGCGGTAAGAAACAGTCCAAGGTCCTTCGCCCTGAAGTCGCAAAGGCAGCTTGACATCGGCGTGTTCGATGACCTTGGTGATGCGCTTGTTCTCGAGCAAGCCAAATGCTGCGCGGGGCCGCTGGCGCCTAACCGAGATCTTGAGCTCATCCTTCAGGAACGTGCGACAGCCAGACTTATCCTGGACGCTGTTGAGAGCGAGTGTGTACTCTCCGCCCTTCGCAAGAGGCTTAGTCTTAATCTTGTACGATGACCCCTCGATGTCGGTGACACGCTCAGATTTACGTTTTCCATCGTGCACCAGCTCCCATTCGAGCGTAAACGGGGCGTCACCGAGAAGGAGGATGTCGACTTCAACTTCCTGTTCGAGACAAGCGCTCTTGAGTCCGGTCGGGTGCGAAATGTGTGCAGACGCGGCTGGCTTCACGTCCGTTTCCAACGTCATTTCGGGGCTGAGAGGCTGACCCTTATAGATAGCATCATCAATCTGCTTGAAGATGTACTTGTGATGACCAGCTGCAGTGGGTCTCAGTTCGACTTGTTGTCTGAGACCCTTTGCTTCCACCCGCTCATGTCGGGTCTTGCCCTGCTCGTCAACGACGTCGTATCGAACCACGAATGGTGGCGTTCCGATGAAGTCCAGGTCAACTCGGAGTCCCACTGAGTTACCTGCGCATTTGTCGGGGATCTCTTCGGAACGGAGAGCAAGCTGGGGTTCGAGTGGGTTGAGCAACAGGCAAGATGACGGCTCCTGCACTTCGCCTTCGCACGAGCCACTAGAAACAGATTTGAGTGTGTAAAGACCAGGCTCCGAAACATATGGCTTGTCGTGGGAGTTGGCTGCGGTAAAAGAACCCAAGGAAACCTGATCGCCGTGGTCTCCGCTGTTGGTCAAAGAGTCGATGGGTGAGAACTCCCAAGTCAATGTATGCGAAGTATCCGGGTTCTTCCCGGCTATCGAGAAATTGACTGGAAGTCTTGCCTTCTGGCCCTTGGCAACCTTGACCGGTCTGCGTAGGTCACAATCTTGCAAGCGAGCTCTGGGCCGCTCCTTGACGAAGAAGTTGCGTGCCAGATGCTTAGGCCGGGGACGCACTTCCGCATCTTCGACAGACGGAGCGTACTTCTGAACGTTGCCGAAGCCATCCGTAACCTCGTCCACGGCGTACTGCCACTGCCCTGGGCTATCCAGCGTCTCGTTGATGCGCACGGCCACCGTATGGGGCTTGACCCAGGAGATGTCTTCGTCACCGACTTGAGTCAATGAAGAAGATGGGGTACCAAGTAAAGGCGAGGTATAATCTTCAGGCTGCAAGCTCTGGAAATGAAAGCTGCGATCGTTGTCTTTTCCTGTCCGACTATAGACAATTTTCAGGGGCGGCGTTCCGGTGACGTCAACAAGCAAGTTGGACAAGTCCCTGATGCACCGGTCCTCTTTATCGGGCGTCCGGAAACCTGCCTTCGGGCACGGCACTACATAGGTGTCCCTCGTTGTGCGTTGGACCTCAAGCTTGTATTCATCCAGAACCTTGCCCAGGCGGTACACACCAGTCTTCTTGACTGGGTACTCGATCGAGTGAGCCAGTGGGTTTGATTCCGCCGTTTGGTCCTTGATCTGCTTTGCGATTTTGCGAACCTCCCTAGTGGACAGCTTGATCGTTTCTTCCAGATTGGTATCAAGGTCGATGCGGATGAGCTCCATCTCAGCAGGCACCGTAGAGTTGAACTGTATGGGTAGTCGAATAGTTTCACGCCCTTCGCCGATGCAGAATGGAGTTTGCTCGAAGTTGAGTACCGCAGAACTGGGTAGACCATGTCAGCAACAGAAATTGCAGTAATTTGCCTTATTAGATTCTTACCCTTCTGGCAAAATGTTGATGATCTGCCTGCCCATGATCAAGGAATGATTATGCAGAATGCTTGAAACCTTGACAGTGTTCTCAGAGACAGCCAGCTCTCGGTCGTAGAAGACCTTGAGGAAGCCAATGAGCCATGGTTGCAAGGGGAGCTATTCGTGGTTAGCCTGGCCTCAAAAGTGGCACACAAGTGCCTGCACATACCGGAATGTTGAACATCAACATGAAGTTGAAGAAGGCGTGGATGAGGAAGATTGCCGTGACTACAGGCTGCGACAACTCCAGCCATGGTATCCTCATCTCCGGGAGGCCAAAAAGAAAGCCAAAGTCGATAAAGACCCATTTCAGAAATAGCCATGCCGATGTATCATTATCCTCCACAAGCTTGATCCAGTCGTAGAATCGCCATGCCAGCAGCCCGACGTAAATGGCAAAGGCATAGAAGCGTTGTTGCGGAGCATCGAGGATGGTTAAAGGAATGACGGGCTCGGTCGCAGGGCCATTTCGAGTCGCGCTCTCGGGGGCTTGAGGAAGCGAAGATGTGCGATGACTGCTCTTCTGGGAGGAAACGGAGGAGTTCGGGTCGGGATCCTGTCGTCGGGCTGGTGTTTGTGGAAAGCCACCAGTCCGCTGTCTCGGTGTTGCGCTCATCGCATGCCGTTTTCAAGGTCGCCTCATAAGAATCGGAGTGTGTTGACTTTGCCGATGATGAGTGGAATCTTCCGCTCCGAGCGATGCGAAGGATAGACGTCGGGTATTAAATGGGCTTGCCCGGCGTTGCAAGCTATTGTTGACGTCGTGGAAGTATGGAACTTGGGAAGCTGCGGCGGGAATCCAAAAGCTTCAAAATTTCCAGTGAATGTTCGTCACGTCTAAACGCGCCTGGCAACAACACCCACCTGTTGTGTATTTGTGTGCTTTGATTGGCTTAGAGTTCGTTGAGAGGGTCCTCCTTGGGATACTAACAGGGTCCCAGCTTAGTGGCAGCTGGCGGACAAGGCACCTACACTGTGTGAAAGCCGAGCGGATCCGCCTTCCTCCTCTGTTGACGTAGCTGGGTGGAAGCTGCAGCCTGCCAGTTGTCGATGGACGATCCCCGCCGTGCTCTGAAGCTTATCTTGACACAATATCGGTGCCGCCGCCTATTATCACCAGCCGTATAAACCCAAAGTGAGCACAGAAGCTACGCCCCAGTTACCTTGGCTCAATGAAACAGGTCAATTTATCCATCCAATGTATAATCTCAAGTAGATAGGAGGCTCTCTGAGAAATGCATATCCTCCCAAGTTCTCAAGCCGTCACATGTAATGGAGGTAAGTCTGCATCGCATCTTCTGTCATCAACTAGGTGATATCTTACCCTACGTTACTACAACAAAGAATGATCTCTTTTTTTTGCGTCCTGTCATGTCGCTCCTTCCACAATGAGACCATCGAATAGTGCCCGGTCAATGGAATCCAGGTTCCGAGTTCAAGGCAAATGTTCCTTTCGTAAACCCCCTTCACATTGTCCTTGGTCCTCAAAGGCAACCTCAGGTCAAAGGCACCTTCATTTGACAGAACCAACAACGAAATATTTGCCCTTAATCAGTAGACAAGGTCTCCTACCTTTTTCTTCCTTTTTAATCGATTAGCAGCCGAACACCATCTTCATTTCAATCACCTTCTTATCGCCCTTTCTCTCCCACTCACCACTGCCTACATTCTGCACCACTTGCTTAGTATCAACTTCTTCTGCAAGCTTCTGGTAGAATCACTCTGTAATTTGATTTCTCATTCAAAATCACCAAAAAAGCGACTGAAGCCATCATACCACAAGGCATTTGTCAGCATGGCCTCAGTAGTGTCTGCGCCTGCTAAGATGCCTCGAAGGCAGCTGCGAAGTCGCCAGGCAAGCGCAGCAGTCATGGTGCCTCCAACGACTAAAGTACAACAAATATCTGACGTACCTTCACCTATAGACCACGAACGCGACATCTACGCAATCAAATCCAGCCCACAGCAAACTAATGTGGCTCCCGAGGTAGCAGGCGAGCCCGATTGCTCGCCAGAAGCCGGCCGGTTGCGGAAGAGGAAGGAATCGCCCTGCGAGGCTGACGGTGACGCTGAAGGTGAAGGCGTCGCAATTGCTATGGCCGCCGGCTCAAGGCGGAATCCTAAGCGCAAAGCTACCGAGACGGCTGCCGCCTCAACATCTGCTGCCGCTTCTAGCGGGTCGAAAGACTACCAGACGCTTCTCCGTGAATCCCTGGCGCCCTTGGGTGAGGATGAGCTCAAGGAGTGGGAGGGTTGGTGTGAGGTGGAGTCTGAACCTGTGCGTTGACCCGCGTTTCCAACTATCTACCCCAGTTTCCATCCTCAAACTGATGCTGATCTTTTTTCAGGCCTTCTTCAATGCTATGTTACGAGAGATGGGCGTCAAGGATGTCAAGGTCCAAGAGGTCTTCGCGGTTGACGAAGATTACGTAGCGACTCTTCCGCAACCCGTTTATGGTCTCATCTTTCTCTACCAATACTTCTCTGAGAACTACGAGGACGATGCAGTCGTCGACAGTCGCGACGTTTGGTTTGCAAATCAGGTATGACTCTCTCTCATTTGCCCCTCTCTCCCCTCTCCCACCCCTCCTCTCTTCGACCGCACAGAAAATACTCACACAGAGCTTCACAGACGACAGACAACGCCTGTGCAACCGTCGCCATGACCAACATCATCATGAACAGCCCAGAAGTCGATCTAGGCAAGGACCTCCAGGCCTTCAAGGACTCCACAAAAACACTCAGCACCCCGCTCCGCGGCCACGCACTGGGCTCAAACCCCTTTATCCGCTCCGTCCACAACTCCTTCACCCGGAGAATGGACCACCTGAACGCCGACTTCGTCCTTGAGATCGAGGCGTCAGAGTCCAAGAAGAAGACGAAGCGGAGAGGGCCGGCAAAGAAGACGAAGAAGAGCAAGAAGCAAAAGATTGACGAGGAGTCGGGATTCCACTTCATCGCCTACGTACCGGCTAACGGCTCGGTCTGGGAGCTAGATGGTCTCAAGACGAGGCCCGTCTGCATCGGACCTCTCGAGGAGGGCGTCCACTGGGCTGAACTGGTCCAGCCCGAGATCCAGGCGCGCATGCTCCAGTTTGAGGACACCGCCCTCACCTTCAACCTCCTTGCACTCTGCAAAAGTCCATTGGGGATCTTGTCGGGAGAGCTCGCGAGCACGCTCCGCTCATTCGAGCTTCTGAATAAGCGTACCAAGAGCGTTGACGGCTGGCAAAACCTCATCGCCGGCAATGACCAGCCTCTTCTGAGCACCGACATTGAGCGTCTCGCCGGCTTCGGCATATCAGGATCGGATGTACAACAGGCCCACGTGGACCCAGCATTCGAGAGAAAGGTCAAGAAGCCATCCACAGATATGGGGGAGCTCTTCAATCTCTACGATGATCTTGTGACAAAGCAGAAGTCTCTCATGGGCGAGTACAATGCCGAGATCGGTTCCGTGAATGAGGACGATGACCGTGTGCAGGGGCGGAAGAAGGACCACACTCCTGCAATCCATTCCTGGGTGCAGAAGCTGGCGGAGCATGGCGTGCTCGCGGATTGGGCAGCCAATTCTTAGGATGATTTGCAAAAGAGAGAGGCGAGAGTAAAGTAGTGCGGAATCGGTGGGGGATCAATACCGAATTTGCAATTCGGGGGCGTTTGTGGTCTGGAAAACATAGTAGATGGTTTTGCATGTGGCTTCGGCAAAGCAGCAAGTCTATTCACTTAGAGGCACATAGCCTCCATAATCATGCCTTTGTAAAAGGCAGCAAAAAGGGCATGCGAGTTCGCAAGACGTAAAAATTCATTATTATTCTAAGGAGTAACTTCTTGTGAATTACGCCAATCATAGTAGAACCTCACATCAATCTCCATCAGCCATCAACCCTTACAACGCCTAGTGTTTACACTGGCGTATAGACCACCTCATTGTTGGAAGGAATGAAAGTGCACCTTTCTCTATCGAATTGCTTAAAGAATAGCCCAGTGTCGGGGAACAATGCTGCTTGTGCCTCTTCAGGATCGCGCACGAGTTCAAGGCTTGAGGCCTTGACCAAGGAAAAGGTCCCTTGCATGTTTGGAGGAGTCCTGATGTACTGTTAGAAATTTTGCAATTCTTCGCCAGTCTCATCTGTTAACTCACAATAGCCTGTAATATAAGACCGATCCTTGAGCCATTTCCCCATCAGTCACAACGCCGACAAAGCCGTATCTGCCATGCCGGACAACATTGCCGATCTTGTACTCCAGGCTCATCTGTGAGTCACGCAACACAGGCTGCTGCTCATCTGCCCTGCGAATGAGGCGAAGGATATATTCCGGGTTGGGAGCAGCAAGAAACACATCGCCATGCGGTTGGGGCCGAGTAATATAAATCTTCTCAACAATCCAGGCGTCATCGAAGCGCAGCGAATTGAATCGCAAGGCGAAATGCGATGTCACGTCAACAAAAGCATCGGGATCCAGAAGAGTTGTTGCCCAGGCGGCGGCGTAGACGGATAGTTCAAGGTTCTGGAGAGCAGTCCCAGCCCCGAGCCCAGCCAGTCTCTCTATAGACACGTCCTGAGACGTGTAAACGAGGTTGGTATGCCGTATATTGTGTGCGAGACGTCCAATCATTGTTGAAACGGCTGCCGGTGCCATTGTTTCGACATCTAGACTATGCCACCCGACCTGGGCAATGAACTGTCGTAGCGTCTCCTTGCTGAACTCCTCATCACCCCCATATGGATCAAGGTACATCCTCTCAAGTTGCCTTGATGGATCCGTGACTCTCGAGCCATCCAATCTGAATTCTGGCGTTGCGAAGACCATTGAAAGCACATGGCCTGGTAGCGCACAACAGTGGGCATTCAATCCCAGTCTCTCCCCGACACAACAGAAAATTGCTGCTGAAACCATTGGAAGCGACTGGTGGGCCGATGTTCGCAGCGCATGGCCAAGGAGGCAGTTCCGTAGATTGCGATAGTTGGTTTCAGGGTCGACCATACCGGTGAGATTGTTGGATCTCAGCCAACGATTTAGAGTTAATGCCCTTTCCCGAATGCAAAGCCCGTCAAATTCGGGGTGACTGCCACGAAACTCGGCTGCGAGTTTGTCAAGAAGTTTGGAAACCTGCCATAGGGGTTAGTCAAAGAAGTATATTATAGTAGCCTCGTAGAAGACCTACGTGATCTATGTCACCCTCGTCGCCCTGGATCACAAACATGTCAAAAGCAGCAAGTGCTTGCTCTAACCTTCCGGGCACAACTTTCGGAATATGGTTGGGTCTCCAAGCTTCGCGCGCCTCATCACTGCGAAGGCTGTCCCAAATCTGGATGGCGGCCCCACGGCGCATGCTGGCGAGAATGGCATTGCTGAAATACCTATGCGGAGTTGATCAGAACGCGCCAGCAAACGTTGCAACGAAAGTTACCTACCTTCTGGCCAAGACGTCTTCGAAATGATCTGGGGTCTGGGCCTGGTCCAAGAGAAAGTCCTTGGCGTCAAGACCAAGCAAGCAGATCTCTTCAAAATTCTTTACTCGGCCATATTTGGTAGCCAATATTCCACGGAATTGGCCTGCAGCCTTGGCGTTTCTTCTCTTGCGGAATAGAAACAACTGCTTCCACAGAACGTTGGATGCAGGTTCTTCCAGTTTCTCCTTGAACCTGTGACTTGGATGCCAGAACTTGAAGGCATGCAAACAGTAGTATCGCCACAAAATCGGTTCATTGGAAAGCCGGGCCAAGCGCCTCGAGAGGAGGTTCGCTGTGACTAAGTTGTCCTCTGGTGAGATGTAATGTAGAATTTGGTGGATTATTTCATCTGGGATCTGGTCAAATGAGAGCATGGCGGCAGAAGCGTCATGCGCACACTATGAATTCGACGGGTAAAGAACACCGAAGAAGACCAGGATGGATGCTGTCGCAAGCGTAGTCGGGGTAAGTTGGTGGGGTTTGCGGAGGACTTATACAGCTAGACAGAGTAGAGTCTTGGTATAGTAGCTGTGAAGACGACTTCAAATGGTGACATGAAATCGATAACAGTCGTCTCTGTGAGTTGATCATCCCAGGGTCGGTTTGATCGAAGGCAGGTAGTGACGTTTTGACGCTTGCGGTGTGAAGTGGTTGCATCACAAATCAATGGGAGGGAGGCTCTTTCCCACTTGTATCCGTAGTGTCTCAAGCTGCCCTGTGGAAAGAAGCAAGGTCCACCACGTTCATTGACGTTTTGTCGTCGAAAAGTGGGACTCTGCCATGGGATTCTTAAACTGCGGAGCCCATGCTATTTTCTCTCATTTAATTGGTCAAGAGCCCGTCCCGCTCATTGGTCTAAAAACCACGACTTGTTCCCTCTCTGTCCCGCCACGCTAGTCCGAGATAGGAACACGAGTAAACAACACTCACAACGCGGTCTGGGATGCGACCGTGTACCCTTGGTCCCTTGCTGCTCTTTCAAAGTCCCGTCCACTATCAACATCACGACCGACCGGGTTCTGAGCTATCGCAACCACACGAGATCTTATAGCTACGCAGACATTGCGCTTGCTTTCTTGCTTCGCACCACCACAGCGCACGCCATTCATATATATCACTAACAGACCACTGTTATGACCACACCTACGAGATCGCAATTCTGATCGCTCGTCGACTTTCCCCCCCTCTATAAGTCAAACGCGGTCAATATGGTCGCCCCAGGTATCGGCGGCCTCGATACGCCGCGAACAAACATTGGCGATGCGACATATCTCAGCCGACAACCCGACTTCGACATGTCACAGGAGGTTTCTTTTCAGTCTCCTCCGACGAAAGACAACAACTTGGTGCAACAAATGCGCAACGGGCGCTCGGGAGGCATCAACCTTCGCACACCGCGGGGTCGCGGACCCTTTGCAGACCGAAAAAACCTACCTGCAGGCCTCGGAGGAGCAGAATTCACCCCTATGCTAAAGTCAGCTACGCGAAATAGCATCCGTCGAAGGTCTGGCAAGGAGAACGGCGCCGTGCCGAACACGCCCGCACTACTGAACAGAATCGACGAGGACATGACGCCAATTCCCAATATCGACACCTCCATGTACCAATCGCGGTCTTTCGTAGATCGCACACCACTCCCCGAAGTCGACAGCACGAGCACGGCATCTACACCGCTTGTAGTCTTGCCGCGACGCGACGGGAAAGGCCCTCTGCAGGACGGAAACCAGTTGTCGCTCCGGGAGCAGGAGAGCGTAATCGATAAAATCGAAAAGGAAAACTTTGGCCTGAAACTCAAGATTCACTTTCTCGAAGAGGCTTTGCGGAAGGCCGGTCCCGGCTTCAGCGAGGCCGCATTAAAGGAGAACACCGAGCTGAAGGTCGACAAAGTGACCATGACGAGGGAGCTTCACAAGTACAAGAAGCACCTGACATCGGCCGAGAAAGACCTTGAAAGCTACCGACAGCAGATGATGGAGTTACAAGAGAGGGCCAAGAAGAAGTACGCGGACCAGAAACAACTAGCTGAGATTGAGCGACTGCAACAGGCCTTGGAGGATAGAGAAGCTGATCTCGACGACATGCAGCGCCAATTGAGTCAGGGACAGAACGATCAAGGGCAGGTGGACAAGCTACAAGATGAGATTGGTGACCTAGAAGCAGAACTTCGCGAGAAGGAGCGGCTTCTAGGAGATCACGAAGATGAAATTGACGAGCTCAAGGCGAAGCTGGACAACGCGGAGGACAAGATGAAGGATGCGCAAAGACGGATGATCGAGCTTGAGCAACAGGGACAGTCTAACGACGATTTGGAAGAAGCAAAAGACACTATCGACGACCTGGAAACCAATGTCCGTCGCTTGGAAGAGCAGGTCGAAGAGATGAAAGACAAGCTCAACCAGGCCATTGCAGACAAGGAGCAAGCAAAGGGTGACTTGGAAGAACTTCAAGAGGAGCTGGCGAACAAGTCTATTGCCACAAAGGGACTCTCGCGACAAAAGGAGGAGAAGCTTTTGCGCCTGCAAGCCGAGCTGGAGGAGTCCGACACGAGATTCGCCAATATCGAACAGCAGCTTTCTGAAACGATCAAGGAGAATGACGAACTCAAGAACGCTGCTAAGGAAGATCGCCGTGCCCGCGAAGCTTCTGAGCGCGACTACCAGTCACAGTTGGCCAGAATCGAACAGCAGCTCTCAGACGTAACGACAGAGAAAGAAAGCCTTAGGAATGCCGCGCACGAGGGCCGTCAAGAACGAGAATTCTCTGATCGCGAACGTCAGTCGCTGCTGGCTCAAGTGGAAGATCTGAAAAGAGAGTTGGAGGCCAGGTTGGACGAGAAGAATCTGCTGCAAAGTCGTCACGAGGCGTTGACAGGCGAGTCTGACTCTCTACAACGAGATGTGGCGCGTCTTCAAAAGAACGTGGATGAATTGGAGGAGAGCCTCGTCCAAGAGCGGGACCACGCCCTCGAGATCGAAAGGGATATCCGCAGCCAATATAGAGACGAAATCGACAGGCTTAATGACGAGATCTCGGACCTCCAGGCTGAAATTCGGGAAAAGGACAACCTTTACGACAACGACAGCGAAAAATGGGAAACAGATCGCCAAACCCTAGACTC